AGAGGCTTATTTACTAGTATATTAATATAGGCTTAATCCTTATTACTAAGCTAAGTTATTACTTATATTTATAGCTAATAAGCCTTATTATTTAACTTATTACTATTACTACTATAACTATTATTTTTTAGTTACTTTTACTTAGCTTTAAGTATAATATTAGAATTATTATAGTAAATATAAAGCTAATATTAGACTTCTAAAAACTAGTTACTTAGTATTATCTTTACTTACCTATTATAGTTTATAATTATTATAATAAAATAATAAACTAAGTTTTAGTTTATAAGTTAGTAAATACTAACTAAAAGAAACTAGAAGTCTTTTAGTTTTTTATTATTAATAGGACTAAATATAGTATTATGAATAGATTTAAAGTAGGTCTACTTAATAGCCTTAAAAAGTAAAAGTTTAAACTAATTAGTATTATAAGTATTATTAAAACTCATTACTTTAAAGAACTACTTTTATATTTTAATATAATAAAAGAAGATCTATATAAGGCTGTTTGTTATTACTAAGGTAGTAATATAGTTAACTATATATATTAATAGGTAATAATAAATAATAAAGATAAATACTAGTTCTAAATTATATATAAAGAGGGAAACTATTATAGGATTATATAGTAAATTAACTATATAATATACCTATAGGTCTAGTAGATCCATAGGGAAATTACTATAAAATCCCTAGGGATTTTATAGTAAATTAGCTATAGTTATTCTAGCTGTTATTAGTATAAATCTATACTACTAATATCTAGGTAATAGTTAATATTAATATATATAATAAGTAAGCACACTAGATAAGTAAGCGCTAGGCCTTAAACTTTATTAAATAAACACTAGAGCTCTAAATACGTTTTTTTTATAAGTATAACTATAAGAAGGCTTAATATAAAGATCTAGACGTAATAAACATATAGTTTTATCTTATAGTAAATATAATTATAAGATATAGTATTATAAAGTCTAATATTTATAACTTTAATAAGACTAGCTTTATAATAGGCTAGATTATATCTAAAATAGTTATTATAAGCTTTAGAAGATATTTAAATATAAAAATAGTATAGCCTAGAAATTAAAAATAAGTTATAGTTATTTAAGTAATTACTTTATTTAGTTATAGTATCTTACTATATATTATTATTAAAAGTAAAAATCTTCTCTTTACTTAGTATATAAAATCTAGTCTTCTACCTAACTAAGTTATTATAATATTTAAAAATAAATAAATAATAAATAAAAAAGGCCTAAGTTAGCTTTAGTACTTTAATTAATATTTAAAATTATATATAAAAAAGAAATATTACTTTCTTATTATTAATAAGTATAAAAGTTACTATTTTATAGACTTTAAGCTATATTATAAAAAAAATATTATTACTTTTTATATACTATTTTATTTATTTTATTTACTTTAGCCCTTAGATATTAGGTGTTTTAAGCCTTTAAAGCTAGTATATAGTTAAAAGATTAAGGATAAGATATAATAAGGTAATACCTATATTATAAAAAATAACTTCTTTTTAGTATTTTATAACGCTTTTAAATAAGCTTTTATAAAAGTAAATATTTAAGAAGGCTTTAGAAAGATAAGGCTTATCCCTTTAAGTCTAAAAAGTATACTATTAAAGCTAGATATTAAGTTATATACTTTAACACCTTTAGGATTTTTTCTAATAATACTACTAGCTTAGACTTCCTAGACACTATATAATATAATAAAAATATCTTCTTAAAGAACTTTTACTAAGGATTACTTTATTAATTATCTAAATAGCTCTTTAATATATAAATTAATAGCTACTAAGTATATTCTTAAAGAAGTATTAAGAATTATATATAAAAATACTTTATTAAAAGCTAAGGTTAAAACCCTTTATAAAAAGAATAACCTACTTAACTAATATAAAAAAGTAAAAAAAACTTATCTAAGGTAGAAAAAAAGTCTTAGTATAGCTAGTATATAAAATATTTAGTTATAAAGAGAGGTAATAACCTAAATTAAAAAGGAAATATATTAAAGTAGTAGTTATAAATTAAGAATAAAAATAGGTAAATAGTAGTATAGTACATATAAGAATACTAAATATAATATATAAACATACTAGTTTAATAAAGAAATACCTAAAGAATAGGATTCTAAGTAGTTTAAATTAATTTTATTATTTTATAGTTACTTCTTAGTTATATATATAAGGTAGCTATAATTAGGTAGTGTGCTTACTTATTTAGTGTACTTACTTATTATATATATTATAATAGTAGTACTTATAGTAGTTTTATAAATAACTTATAATATTATTAGTAAGTATAAAAAAAGAAAATAAAATAAAATAAAATATACTTATCACTTAAAAAGATATATTAATAATAATTATAATTATAAATATATATATTACTATTATACTACTAAAAAAGAAATTTATAATTAAGTATAAAAATAAAAGTATAAATAGCCTTTAAATAAATAATATATAAAAATATAACTATATTATACTTTAATTATAACCACTTTATATATTTTCTTTATTAAACTTACTTAATAGTGTATTCTTTATATTTATTCTATTTTATATATATTATAGTAGACAAAGGGCTTAACTACTATAAAGCTATAATAGCTTCTTTTATAGTTAGGAGGTATATTACAAGAGGCTTATATATATATAGTAGTTATTATTAGCTATATTATATACTATATTATATAAACATACTTAAGGGCCCCTTTTATATAGGCCCTCTACCTAAGAGATTTGTCTTTACATAATATAAGCCTTTTTTACTTATTTATATCTCCCTACCTACTGTATGCTCTAGCTTGTGAGACAGATATTGACTCAGCACTTGCGTCTGAGTTCTGTGATCCTTATACCTGAAAATACGAGACACTGTTTTCTAGACTAACAGTACCTCCTTAAATTGTAGTAAGCTTAACCTACAAGATATTCTAATCAATTTAGTTCTATAATAAAAGTCATCCAGAGGATAAAGGCCCCTTATCCATACCTTTCTGGCGCTATAACCCCGGGCTGGGTAGGAGACCAAAGCCAGACTCTGAATATCAATCAAACGCCTTGTGTGATCGCGTCAAACGCTATGATAAAGCTTCCCCCTAACAGACATCATAAACCCCCAGTACTGGGGAAACGATCATTATCCTTACTGGCCGTAAACCTGAGACACTTGCTCAGAATATTGCTGCATCCTGGAATACTGTAAGTGACGGGAATGCCAGCAAGGCGCCCAGGGACGAAGGCAAGACGCACACGATGGCTCTCTTCACGATGACCCAGACACCAGTTCCAGCTCCTACTCTCCATTAAGCAAGGAAACAAGTGGCTGCTCAGGCAAATGAGTCCCCCATCTGGAGTTCGTCGTTCTTGTGGCTGGCATATTTCGCGAATATATAGTGGAGCTCGCATAGCAAGACGGTAAGACCTGGAAGCAAGCCCTAAGAAAATATGGCAATATACTAGAAGGGTGCCTAAGCTATTTCAGTCTGTCCATCCAGAAGATTCCCAGGAAAAAGGAACTATCGAGACCAAAACTAACATTACTTTGGGAAAGTAGGCGATGAGGCAGACAAGCCAATGGAGAATAAACAGACCCTTGCTCTCGTTTCTGTTTCACCCATTCAATAGCTCTGTTGCCAAGGATTGATGCCATTGTGTCGTTTGGTCACTCAACTAGTCGGATAAAACTGAGGCTTGTTGTCACTGTTTACACTTTCCTTGAAATACATCATCATGTAAATATTTTGCTCGGTGGATAAGCCAGCCTCGGCGATGTAGACCGATAAGATCTTTGATCAATGCGTTTCAAATCACAAACAATAAAGACAGTAAGTTTGGCTCTGAATGAATGTGCTTTTCCACATCAAACCCGCGTGATGCGTCATAGCCATCTTACAATATTAAGATTGATAAAAACTGTTGGGTGTGGCGGCCTGGTCGCCTTAACGACAGAATTGAAAATATTTGTGCTGGAATTTATATGACTTATTCTATATTATGAGAAAGCATTTTTAGTTGCAGACGGAATAGGTAAAGAGCTAGACCCCTCCATACCAAGGATCTTGTTGTCTTGGTAATAAAATGCAGAACGATACCAGAATCTCCAATGTTTAGCCATCTGTTGTTCATAAATTAGTTCCTGTTGAACTGTGCGGATGGGAATGTTCGTAAGACTTCCATTCTCTTCTGGCTTGCAGGAACAGAATGTGGAGACACTTTGGTGATGGGAAGGCTTCGGACTCGAACACCCGACCCAATTTACAACCTAATTGGACGTTGTCTGCAGTGCAAAGTGGGCATTTCCGGCAGAATTTTACAGCAGTGCAACAAAAGTAATGTTAAAACTACGACCTTGAAGATAGGTAAACAGAATGGAATGTAATTAGAAGACATAAATCACTATTATGGTCCACGGTCATCGTCTAAATCGCAAGGGTGAATCCTTGTTTCTTTCTTTCTTTTCTTTCAGCTGGACGACTTGTAGGGCGAGCCACGCATGTTTTAACCAAATATCTTGAGGGAACCTACGGTAAACCTTCCAAGGTAATTGCTGTGGGAGGTGCTTAAACGACACCTCCCACCTCTTAGGTCAAGCATGGTGTGAAATGTTGGGTACTGAGAACAATGTGGCTTTTTGAGTTGAATTTTATCCATTCCAAACGCCCCGATAGACCGGTTGAGTGTTGAGGGACTGATGCGGGGTATCACAAGCAAACCAGATTTACACTCGCGCCTCAGAGACTTGGAAGGTTACCGATATTGTTTGACTTTCTTTACTTGAATAGAGTTCCAATGGACGAGGCTTTATTTGGTGGTTGTTTCTATTGGGGGGCGGTTGTGCGTGGAAAAGATAGATGTCGGCGGACTTCATCGGCATATAATAATTGGATCATTGCCCACAAACCATGGGAATCCAATTTGATTCACCAGGACATAGTGACATTCTGGTCATCACTCACTCACTTTAGCAGCCACGATGATCAATTTTTGGGTTGCTCTTACGCTTTTCCTCAATGCTAATGCTGTAGCCTCGCATATCTTGAGGCCTGCACCTGTGGCCGATATCCAATTCGATAAATCCGCACGCGCTCTACAAGACAGGGGTCTTGGGCAAGGTAGTCGTAAAGTGGCTCAAGAGGCATGCGGCGATTACAACTTCGTGTTCACGTAAGCGTCTGGTTGTCGAACGGCAACTTCTGTTTGCTTTTACTGATTTCACTACGTCATGTAGCGGCTTGCCGTGGAACCATCCCGCTATCAAAGCAAGCGGTTTCACACCCGCGCAAGTTGAAGCTAGTATACGGGCAGATGTGAAGGCTATTGTAAATGCTGGGTATAACATCAAGGGTAAGTCGGTTCCCTATCAATCATTATCTTTATACTCACCGTTAGCATCTCAGCCGTACTTGTCGGGCCAGAGGACACCCTGGGCGATATATCTTCCGAGCTGAAGGGTGTGAACTGGACAGGGACTGGCGTTGGATTTGGCGTCCGAGGAAACCCTTCCCCGGTCATCACACGCCGGCTTATGGGTTAGTTATTGCCATGACTGCTTTTAGGGATGCACTTACCAACTTGATATGCAGACATTATTCAACTGTACCGCGACGAGGTACCTCAAGCTCGTATTCTATTCAATTATTCACCCAACTCGAGTCTTTGGGCTATTCAGCAGTATTTCCCACTTCCGAGCTCTCTGGACTGTCAATGTGGGCCTGGAAAAGACCTGGTCAGTGCTACCCGTTCGAGTTACCAATGCCGTTCTAATTTTTGTTCTCAGGGTATTGTAACCCACTGCAGTGCCTGCTCCCCTCCAGTCTAAGGCAGACTGCTGGGCTAGATAAGGGAACAGTGATTACGTTTGCTGAACTGGAGCATGCACAGTTTATTGATGAGATAACCTAAAAGGTCTTTGTGGTAAAGATTATCACTTTGCTAAATTATTCTCGTCCCTCTTGAGACGCCTGCATCCCTTCATGTTGAATAATTGATCTACTGTCTATCTGTCGGCTAATTTGCACAAGCCTTTCTGTCTCCGAAGGGCAATCATTAATCGACTTTTCGACATTCATGCTGAATAGGCTCTTCAACTTTGCCAACCGAATCCTAGAGTCCAATCTTAATACCCATAGACTCAGCAAATGTTGTTATCCTCATGCGCAGTGAATAATGATGATAATGATGATGATGATAATATTATTTAACGCCCGTCAGGTCCATCTTGTGGCACAAGGCGCCTACTAGTCTATATACTATTACTAGCCTAGGTTCCCTCTTATAAAGGGAAACTAGGTTAAATAACGTCCCTAAGATATAGTATAAATCCCCTATTAAGAGTATAAAATTAGTATTTTCCTTCTAGAATTATACTTATAGTTACTTATACTAAGTAATAACTATATAAAGGTAGTAGTAGTAATAGTAAGAAAGAAAGTAAGTTTTTTAGTCTAAATTATTTATATTATAATATTAATTACTACTTAGATATTAATAGTATAGGTATATAGGGTATAATAAGACTTTTATAGTATAGTAACTATATAAAACACCTTAACTATTAAAAGTAATATAAGATTCCTTACTAATTAGTATATATATTATATTAATTAGTCTATAGTTTAGTCCTAATTAGAAGACTTAAGTATTAAAAGCGTGTAGTAGTGTAATTAGGGACTCTAGTTATAATAGTAATATATAGATAAACACACTAACACCTTATAACGTAAAGTAACTTAGGTACTTAGTCTAATTATATTAAGTTTCTAAGATCTAATTAGGCTTTTAATACTAATTAAAATCCTATAACTTAAATAGATAAGGTAGATAGCTCTCTATTACCTAAGTTATTATATATTAGCTAGCTTAATTAAAAAGTAAGATACTAGTTTAAAGATTTTTAAGAAGAAAGATAAATTAAAGAAGGAAGTATAATTATTCTTTATTTAATATAGCTAATTAGAAGGTTCTTATAGTTCCTAATACTAATAAAACTTTTCTTTTTTCTTATAACTACTAAATAAATAAAATCCCTGTCCTTACTTTAGTATCTTAATTAACTATAATAGTATACCTAATTAAATAAGTTAATACTTTAAATTATTTTATATTCTTACTTATAGTAGTAAATTATAAAAAGGTCTTAGTAATAGTAATTTAATTTACTACTACTTCTTAATATAGCTAGTAGTTATAAATATTTATATACTATAGCCTTATCTATAGTTAAATAAGCTCCTTAGTAATATGCCTAATAGTCTAAGTATTATTATAGCTAATATAAATAGTTAGTAGCTATTTAGTAGCTACTTACTTATTAAGTAATAATTTAGTTCTTATTTAAGTTAATAGTTAAATACTTAGTATAGTAATTAATCTTCTAGTAAAAAGCGCCTTTTTTATAGTAAATAATAGTACTAGTAATTTAGCCTTAGTAGTTAATATTATTACTATATCTTATTTATTAGCTTACTAAAAGATAAGGATTCTAAATAGGTTAGTATATATACTTTTAAGCTAGAATAGCCTAGTAAGTAATTAGTAAATAAGGCGTCTAAGGTAACCTTTAATATATTATCTTTACTACTTAGTATTACTTTATATTTAAGGTTAAGGTACTATATTTAATAAAAATATCTAAGTATATAATTTATAGCCTTTTAGTAATCTAGATTTAGATTATAGTTAAAGTAAGTAAGCTAGCTAGCTATAAAGGTAATATCTAGCTAAGTTATTACCACTATATAAAGAATTATCTTTATCTTTTTTTTAATATTAGTTAACTTTTTATAATAAGGCTATATATTTACTAAGTAGTAGCTTAGCTTTTACTATAAGGTGTTTAGTCTTTACTATTTATTAATTTCTTAACTATAGGCACTTACTACTTTATCTTATAGGTAATTAATATATAGACAGTATAAATTAATATATAGGCACTCCTCTTATATAGGCGCCGCTATATATACCTTTAATTAGTTTAAAAACTTAGTATATCTTTATAAAGGTAGTAAACCTAATTTTACTAACACCTTTACTATTTCCCTCTACTATTATTTAATTAACCTATATAACTATAGGAAAAAAAGTCTATAAGGGGGTTCTTTTTATAGCTATAAAGAATATACTTTATAAGAGGTAACCTTTATAGCTATAAAAAGGAGCCCTTAATTATACCTATTTCTATAGCTATAAAAGGTAACCCTCTTACTAAGTCTTTTTCTTATAGCTATAAAAAGGAACCCTCTTACTAAGCCTTTTTCTTATAGCTATAAAGAGTAACCTTTTTCTTATTTAAGCTTTATAAAAATATATTACCTATTACCTTTTTTTATAAATCTTAAATAAGGCTATATAGTTAAAAAGCTTACTACCTAACTACTTTTTATAATATAGTTATAAGGATTTACTATTACTACTAACTATTTCTTACTAACTTTATATCCTCTAAATACTAAGCTAAAGTAGCTATTTACTTATATAACTCCTTATTATTTTTCTTTTACTAAAAACACTAAACTAGCTTCTTATCTAGCGCTAGGATAAGGTTAGAATCTAGCTTTAACTTTATTAACTTACTTCTTATATTAACCTAAATAGTAAGTACTTATTTTTACTTTTAAGTAAGTAGCCTTACTTCTTACTACTTATACCTTAGCTATAACTTTAGGTATATTTCTAGCTAGCTAGCTAGCCTTCTTAAAATAAAGCTAATTATAATAAAATAAGCTATATAGTATTCTTTAGCTTACTATAAAAAAATACTATAATCTTTAGATTAAGGATTTATTAATATAAATTAAAAAAAGATATCTTATAGAAACACTACTTAAGGTATACCTCTTACTTACTAAAAAAAGCTAAACTTAGTATTTTAATAAAAATCTTATAGTAGCATAAGATACTAAGCTTAGTTAAAACTATATAGTCTAAACTATATTCTTTAATAAGGGCTAAAAATAGTCTCTTACTAAAAGGTATTACTTTTTTTACTAGTTAGTATTACTTTCTAATTAATACTAAGCACTTTAAAGAAAGTAGTATTTAAAATTTACTAAAAAGCTTAAAGTAAGTTTTTATATACTTCTAGCTTCTAAGGTCTTTATTTTTAGTATAAGCTTACTTAGAGTATAACTTTTAGTTACTAATTATATTTTATATAATATTAATAAGTTAATATAAGTAACCTAAACTATTTAAGAAATAGCCCTTAATATTATTATTACTTAACTTTATACTAAAAGTAATATAAATACTAAAGTTTTAGTAATTTCAAATAAAGTAGTAAGCTTACTATACTCTTAAGGGTAAGTATACTTAGATATAAAAGCTTATATAATTATAACCTTAAATCTAACCTTAAATTTAACCTTATTTATAACCTTAAAGTAACACTACTATATATATATATATATATATATAAGATATCTAATATAACCTTTACTTCTAGATATAGACCTATAGAGATTTACTCTCTAGTACTCTATCTCTAAGAAGTATAAAAAGTAAATATATATAAATAGTAACTAGATTTACTCTAGGGTACTAAAAATAGAAATATCTACTTAAATAAAACTAGATATTAAACAGACTGTATTATACTATAACAAGCTGTAATAAGTAGTATAACAGGCTATACCTAGCTTAAAACAAGCTGTAGTAATATAAGGTTTTAAATCTATATAATAGTATAATAAGTATAATATAATATAAAGGTTAATATATATATTACTAGAAATATAGAGGTTAGTTAATTATATTTAGAGATAAGATCCCCTTAAGGGATTCTAGCTCTCTATGCCTTCTAAGTATAATAAAACTACACCTATCTTTCTACCTATCTATCTACCTATCTATTTAGTTAACCTACTAATCTACCTATTATTCCTTATTAGTTATAAGCCTAGCTTTTGTAATATAAAGACTAGATAAGACCTTTTTCTTTATATCTTTTTAAGATATCTATTAGAGTTAATCTCTAGATATCTACTTATACTACCTAGATCCTCTTTATCTTTATAACATTACTAACCTTTCTCTAAATAAATACCTTTTACTACTATTTAAATCCTCTTTTTAATATAAATCTAATAATACTATTCCTATCTCTATCTAACTACTATAATAATTAATCTTAAGCTAATTCTATAAGATACTTATAAAATAAGAAAAAGATAGATAAAGTTACTATACCTACACTTTCTAGTAGCTAGAATTACTTTACCTAGGTAACTAGGTTTAAGGCTTTACTTATTAGTAAAGATATCTACTTTCTAGATGTAGTACCTACTACTGCTGCTTAGATAAAGGCTGATTTTAAGGCTTTTGCCTATATAAAGCTTTTCTATAAGGATAGCCCTCTAAGGGTTATAAAAGATTCTAAATTAGGATTTAAAGCTTAGAAAAAACTAAAGGATCTATATAAGCCTATAGGATTTACTAATAAATATCTTACCTAAAAAGAATTCTTTAATACCTCTCTAGATTCCTTTAATTCTATAGAAGCCTACCTTAATAAGGTTAAAGAGCTTATAGATAACCTAGCTTTAAAATCTATTGCTTTACCTAAACAGGTTATAATAGCTTAGATTTTAAATAGCCTAGATAAGAGCTATAATAGTTTTATTACTAATATTACTTAAGCTCTATAAAAGGATCTAGAAGCCTATAATCTTAATTCTCTCTTTATAAATATAATAGATAAAGCAAAAAGAAAGCCTAATACTATACTAT